CTAAATAAGCAAAACCAAATTAATTTACCTTTGACATCTACTCTTGTTACTCCAGAAATAATCCGTCCATTTGCTAAAGCACCTCCCTGCAAAAAGGTCAGAAGAAGACCACGATGGAAACCTCGCATATTGACCGACACTCCCGAATATGAAATATCACAGTTAAAAAAATTAAACCTAACTACTCTTAAAATGGCTAAGAAATTTGAGAGAGTGGTTCGGCTGCAGCTCATTAGAATTATTCAGAAATGGGGCCAACAAAGTTAAAATAGCGATGATGATTTCCAACCTCCGCTAGGAGAAGGAACCCGAAGAAGAAGGCTCTTAAAATACGAAAAGGCAAGAATTTGTGGTTCCACGCAATACAGTCTATCAAAAAGAATACAAATTTTAATTCTCAGAAGGAAACCCAGAAAGAATGATCATCAAGTTCAGAATACGAAAATGACAATCTGTCCCTTAGTGGTGAAAGCAGTGACAAAGAAAATTGGAAGGAGCAGATTCAAAGAGAGAAAGAAGCAACACTGCTGGAGAACAAGTTTGAAAATGATGATTTAAAAAATGCCGACTTTGTATTGGTGAAAGTTCAGGGGAAAAATGGTTCCGTTATTATGATGCAACTAGAAGCTTTAATTTCCTTGAAGGATATGACGTGGATTGAACACAAGTATGTTTAATTTTACTTTTTTCTTTATGAAAATCAGTTTATTTATGCTTGTCGAAAATGTTTTGGCAACCTTAATTACCATTTTCATTTTTATGTGTTTTAACTTGTGAAATATCTATTTTAACAAGGTACAGTTTAGAAAATTAATGCCTACATTTAGCTAATTTAAAAAGACTACCATTATTTTAATATTGCGATAAATTATTTATTTCAAAATTTTAAGTAGTGAATGTCTCGATGAAAATTTGTTCATTCACGTATTATTTCTAAATTTCACCTGGTAATATTCCTAATAGGAATAGCCTAATAGCCTACTTTTGTTAAGGAGCTTTTAAAAATATAAAAATATACAGGGTGTTTCATAAAAAATAAAGATGACGGGCTATTCTCGGCTTGCGTAAATAACTCTGTACATTTAAATTTATGTTTAAAAAGCATCCATTTATATTTAAAAGTTGATATGTCTAAGCGTTTTTATATTTTTTTAAAAGAATGCCACAAATAATTATTTCATAACTGGTTTCCACACTATATATTTTCAATGATTTGAATATATTTCTAATTAATTGTTGCCTTTTTCATCGATTTTATGCTCTTGATAATACCATGGCATCAAAAGTAAACAAATGTAAAGTAAAAGGGAATATTTTATATTCAATTCATTTTGATATTAAAATTCGCATCGAATATAGATTAATGAATGTGCTGAATTGTTTTTTGAATCCGGCTTGTTCCACCGGTTGTTAAAAATCCATACTAAGCGTTAGGGGATTTAATAAAATTTTGATGAATAGTTTGTATAAGTGATATAAAGATGATGTTTTGATGTGATTTAGGAATTGTCGCTTTTTTTTGAATAATACTATGACTTCAGAGTTGTATTATTCTACTGGAACTTGTTCTCAGTTTAGACCATGGATAAATAATATAATAGTAGAAATAGATAGGCAACTCAATGTATAAATTTCGTTCATTAGGACCCCTTGCGACTGGGGTCAATACTAATCATCTTTTGGCGGCAAATTCGAATGGACACCCCTTACATACATACCCTTTAGCGCCTCTTGCGGGCTATTTCGTTACTAATTAAAATTTACTGGAAAATAAGGATATAAAAGATGCACAATTTTTTCTAGATATACGTATATTTATTTGTTGTTTAAGATAAAACAGTTATAAACTAATTACATAATATTTATTACACATATTTTCAGAAACAAATGTTAAATACTATTATTGTTTGCTTCCTGACAACTTACTATCATCATCCTTTTTGTAATTTTTCCATGATTTGTACACAACGGAACAATACAATACTTCACCATGTTTAGTTTTTTTACTAGCACAACACAAAAATTCTTTGCTACAATAGGTAACTCAAACTAAACTTTAAAAACTAAGTAACCAACTTAAATTAAAATTACTAAGAATAAATGCAAACGAAAGTTAAAGATAATAAAATAAAATTGAAAACTTGTAAACAAACGGAAGATCTGTTATGACATTTCTCTTTATTAACTCTCTGGGATTAAAGTGATGGGGAATGAACCAAGGTCATTCATATAAGATTTCAGGGCATGGTTTAAACTTTTATTAAAAATATCCCTAATGTTATTTTCTAGTGTTAGATCCTCATATTGTCGTAATTTTTCTACTACACATCTTTAACTACAAATTCAGCTTTAGCTTCAGCTTTATCGTGTTTGACTTATGTGCAAAAAATGGGTCAGATCGGTTGAATAGTTTTTGCGAAATTTAATTTTTAATAAGAATTTTTGAAAAATGAGCTAATTTCTAAGGCTGTATAGATGATTTCACTGAATGGATCTTAATAAACCGTGGCTTATTTTCTTATTTAAGACGTACCTTAAAAGTTAAAAATTATTTATGATACAATATTTAATATCTTTTTAAGCTTATAAACATTTACAACAACTTTATAGAATTTGTGTTAAAACTGTTTTAAAACTTAAATTGCTTTGCGTGTGAGTGATTTAAAAAAAAAAAGGTTATCGTGGTTCCTAACCAGATTTCAAATATTTTTAGGCATTTAATTTAAACTAAACACAACCAAAATATGAAAATTATAAGAGACAAAGAACAAAAGTTAAAGAGATAGATAAAAAAGAGAAAAAGAAAAGTTGGAAAAAATTCGGAGAAAAAATGAAAAGAAAACGTAAAATTATTTTATAGAACACTGCAAAACCTAAGAAGCAACAAAGAAACGAAACTGAAACAAATAATGAACAAGGAAGGAACAATAATAAACGACGATAAGACAATATTGAAATGATGGAGAAAACATTTCCAGCTACTACTGAATGGAAATCAAGCGAATACAATGGAGAAGAAAAGCCATATCAAGAGAGTATCCACGAGAAACACGGAAAATCTAGAAACTATAGAACAAAAAGAACTGGAAGAAGCAATAAGAAAGATAAAGATTGAAAAAGCACCAGGAAGCGATGAGGTAGCACCAGAAATAATGAAATATATAGGAGTAAAAGCAAAACAAAAATTGTTATACATATATAATCTAATATGGAAGAGAAAAGTAATACCCAGAGAATGGACAAATGCAGTTATTATACCTATATACAACAAAGGAAACACAAGAGACTGTAAGAACTATAGACGTATATCACTAGGTGATTCATACAAAGTGGATTCAGGAGAAGACACAACACACAAGACCATATATTCACCATGCGACGAGTAATAGAAAAATTTATGGGAAAGCCTAAAGAAGAAGTAAGTAAGTGAAGAACTGATAGAAGCAAAAAGAGTATATATATGAAAACAACAAACACAGTAAAAATATCAAATATACAGTCAGAACCATTTGAAACAACTTAAGGAGTTAGACAAGGGGGAAGTCTCAGCCCAGTGCTATTCATGAATGTAATAGATGAGATGGTGAAAGAATGTAAGAAAACATTTAAGAAATACTGAATCGGTTGGAACAGAATGCAAATGATAAACGCTGAGATGTGTATATTTGCAGATGACATAGTAAGAATTGCGGAAACAGTAGAAAAACTGAAATACAACTTAGAGAAATGGAACCTAGAAGCAAGCAAATACAACTTAAACGTAAACAAAGAGAAGACTCAGATAATGAAAATATCAACGAAAAAAGGGAAGGACGATCAAATAGAAATAATAATAGACCAACAAAAAATAATACAGACAAATTCATACAAATACTTAGGAAGAGTAATCAACAACAAAGGAGACATCGAGGACGATCTTAACAACAGAATGGAAAACACAGGAAAACTATTCCAAGCACTAAATAGAGGATTCCTTAATAACAAAGAAATATCAACAAAGACAAAGATGACAATATCCAAAACAATATAGACCTACAGTGACATATGGAGCAGAAAATTGGATACTAAACAAAAGGCATCAAAGCAGAATTCAGGCAGCAGAGATGAAATACCTCAGAAGAACGATCGGAGTAAAAAGAACTGATAGAATCAGAAATGAAGAAATAAGACTCAAAATCAAACCGATACTCGACTCAATCAAGGAGAAAAAATTGGCATGGTTCGGACATCTAACCGGATGGACAATAATAGACAAGTAAAAAGAGTGTGGGACGCCGAACCAATAGGGAAGAACAGAAGAGGAAGACCCATTAAAGAATGGAACAGTGACATCTCGCAGATACTGCAGAGTAAGGGTAAGACTTGGCAGGAAGCAACACAGATGGCATACAATAAGAAGGAATGGAGAAAGTTCGTTAAGAGCTAGGACACCTCAGAAGATTGTAAAATATTGTAATTTAATGAATTGTATTATAAACGGCCTAACACAGAAAGGTACAAATGGGTCTACTAATTAAGTAAGTAACTAAATTAAATTAAAGTTTTTAGAGATATTGTACATGTTTATAAGCTTAAGAAGTACTATTTATTATTAACGCATTTTAGACTATTTTTTCATAGGTTATTAGTGTACGCCTTGAAGAAGAAAATAAGCCCTAATGTCTGCTATTGTTTCTGTCCTTTTTCTTCTGTTGTAGTGTATTGCGGCTTAATTTTGTATTTCTGTTTATGTCAGCAGATCTTATTTACAGAAGTTTCTACTGCTATGTGATCATATTTATAGATGCTCTGCCGAGTCGCAGTGATGCAGTGGTAGAATGTTTATTTGTGACATTATAGCCTCCTGCCTAAATGATACCTTCATCTTCTTATATTTAATTACTAATTAAGATTAACAATTCTGATATTTCAGCTATCTCTATACGCTAGGGTTATTAATTAATTTATTAAAATATTAAATTAGCATAATATTGTTGTATTAAAGAAAAATTATATTTTAGATGGGATTACAGTTCCAAAAGGTACTGATGTGACAATATTTTTATATGGAATGAATCACGATCCAAAAGTTTTCGCAAACCCAGAAAAATTTGAACCCGAACGATTTCTTCCAGAAAATATTTCGAGACGTCATACATTTGCTTATCTTCCGTTTAGTGCTGGCCCAAGGAATTGTATAGGTAATAGTTTTATCTTTAAATGTGTTTTTTTTTTATTTATAATGTATATGACAATGAGATCAAATTCATTGCAAAAATCATTATGTACAAGAAACTGAATCATTAATTTGTCACTCATGTGCATTTTGAGCAAAACCAAAAACATTAAGATCAGCCGAAATCGATAATTTGTGATTAAGAGCGGGCAAATAATATAACATGGAACGAATATACTATAGTGCTGTTTCGGCAGAGTGCTTTTCTCAAGTGGTATCACTTGAGAAAGTCATCAGAATCCATCACTTAATGGATAAATGGTTAAGGAGACCAGTAGAAGCTGTAGAAGAATGTTCTGTTCAAAAAACAATTGATTAATCATGTACTTCAAGCAAGGTAACAAACGTTGATTCAAACTTAAATCGTAAAAATAAAAAAAAAACATTTACCAGACGATATGATTCAAATTATTAAAAATGGGATTTTCGTTTGTCGATGTTAACGAAGAGTCACGCCCGCAATGTATAATATGTTTTAAGGTTTTTTCAAATCTTTCAATGAAGTCGTCTTTGCTGCTGCGCCATTATTTTAATTTGAAATACAAGAAGCTTTTAGGAACACCGCCAGATTTTTTCAAAATGAAAGACACTAAACTTAAAAATGGACAGACGAAAATAGCTTCGTTTTTTTCAAGCAACATAAATGATGTTAAAGCCTTTTTGGTCAGCCTAAAGATAACCAAGTGTGGAAAATCCCATAAAATTGGAAAAAAACCAGCTGCCAAAGACATCGTAAATTGTGTTTGAAAAGCCAGCCAAACAATTGAATTCTTTTTCACTTTCCGATAGAATAGTGTGCCGTAGAATACTTGATATGGCCAATGATGTAAAGTTCAGTATCTTTGCAAATCGCTAAGCTATAGATCGCTTTGTAAATGGACGAAAGTACCGATGTAACAGATTTTGACCAGTTAATGGTACACACAGGCAAGCTTTGGCAGCTAAAGAGAGGCAAGATGAATTAAATCAGGTCCTGAACGGTACTGTTGAAGCAGTAAATTTTATTCAGTCAAAAGTTTTGAATTCAAGACTATTTCGGCTTTAGTGTTCCGAAATGGTAAGTATTCATGACAGTATGCTGCCAAATACAGAGATTAGATGTATTTCAAGAAGAAAAGTGCTAGCTGGATTACTTAAGCTTCGTTCCGAAGTTCAAATATTACTAGCAAAAAAAAGCATGGACTCAAAGAAAAGTTTACTGACAAAATTTGGTTGTGACAATAAGCATATTCCAGTGATATATTTACCAGACTAAACGATTTGAATTTGGGTTTATAAGGCAAATATATATCTCGCTTTGTTATTATTGATAAGGTTGGATCGCTCATAAAGAAGCTTGAACTTGTAAAAACAACTCTTTGCAATAACTTACTCCACCATTTTCCAACACATGAAAGCTTTGTTACAACGAAATTAATTCTGAGGTAATGTTGCGTTATAAGATTCACTGCAATAAATAATTCAAGCAATTTAATGCGTGAATACTTCACAGAAAATTATTCTGAATTTGAATCAATACGCATCCCTTTATTCGGACCAGGATTTAAGTGTGCAACTGAATAAAAAAAACTGACTGATTTGAGGACTAAAATTAGACTTTAAGCAATGCAACCTTGGCAAATTTTGGGCAAAAGGTAATTTTGACTTCCCTTTTCTTCCAAAACGCTCTTTAAAATACTTAACACTCTTTTAGACAACATACCTGTGCGAGAATAGAGTGGAATTTTCCGCAGTGCTAAAGAACTTAAAACAAACAAACTTTCGAACACGATCAATTTGGTGGTTTGAATCATTTCCGGAGTAATTTGTCGACATGCTTGTATTATTTTTTCTTTTAATTCCTCTAAATTTTGCGGGTTTTGATGATAAACAATATCTTTTATCGCTCCCCAAAAGAAAGAGTCAAGAGGTGACAAATCACATGAACGTGCGGCCCACATCATTTCTGGAGAGTTGTTTGCTATCCAGTGGTTATCAAAACGGTTTTGTAGGTGGTCGCTAACGATTCTCGCATTATGTGGAGGAGCTCCGTCTTGTTGCCACCACATTTCTTGACGCTCATGAAGAGGAATATCTTCTAGCAAATCGAGTAGAATGTTTTCTAGAAGTCTAAATATCGAACACCTGTTAGAGTGCCGTTAAAAAAGTAAGGACCTATAACACGGCCATTAAATAAACCGCACCACACATTTATACTCCAAATATTCTGAAATTTTGTTTCCATCATCCAATGTGGGTTCAAGGGAGACCAATAATTGGAATTGTGACGTTGACAACACCATTATTGTGAAATCTAGCCTCATCACTCCACAATATTTTTGATAAAAAAAGTGGATCATCACTGATTTTTAACATCATTTTTGCAATAAACTCAAGACATTTTTGGTCATCACCAGGCTGTAATCCTTGAACTAGGTACAGTTTAAAAGAATGGTACTTAAAATCTTTGAGAATTCTATGCACAGAACTTTTTGGAATGCCACATTCACTGGCGAGGGTTCTAACAGACACTCTTGGGATTAAAATTAACATATGCTAGTACATTAATAAGGTTACATCTTACTGTGCGTTCAATAGTACCTCTTTTAGTATTAGGAAAATATCCCTGTCTAAGTGAGCGTTCCAAATTCTTAAAGGTTTTTTCGATTGGAATGTTTCGATTTGGAAACCTTTCTTGATATAATTGTCGGGAAATTCTCCTATTTTTTAGGCATTCTCCATAAATCAAAATGATATCAACGTACTCGTCAGGCGAAAATAAGGCATATTGAAATGTTATAGATACACAATTACAACAAATATAATTATTACTGGTCTAATACCAAACGTCAAAAATAATAATTGTTGATTTGACAGATCAAATCATGGCAACCTGAATTAAGGGTAATATCCAAGACGTAAAATAACCGCAAAAGTTTTTAAAATATTGTGACTTTATTATAAGAGATTTTTTTGTTAAGTTTTGCACAATTAATTTTGCACACTGGAAGATAACGTACGCTCCTAGAAAGACCAAATTTTGAAAAATTAAAAATAATGTTCAAATAAAAAGACTATGTACTTCGTACGCACGTAAGAAGTTATACTACGTAGTTAAAATACTAAAATTTTCAGTGATAATAAAGCATAATATTTCTCTTTCTATTCTATTTTTAAGGCTTGATATATCTTGATTAATTTAACAAAAATAAAAAATAAACTGATATTTTCTTGATACCTTACAAACCCATTTTATTTTTAAAAAATCGATTGAATAGACGATAGAAGACCACAACCAAAACTATAAAAAATGTACAGGGTGCCATTAAAAAATTTAAGTTAGGGGTTGTAACTAAGAGATGAATATTTAGGGGATGATTTTTTTCTACGCCATTAATGTATTCAGAAAGATCTTTGTCCATTCGAAATCTATCGTTAGAGATATAGCGTGGGTAAATTAGTCTGGGACACCCTGTATATAAAGTCTAAAAATATAACCTAAAATGTTTCGCCTGTTGAATTTTATTTTATTAATTAGTCTTAAAATTCCAGCATTTAAATTATAGTTAGTTAGATTACCTGGCTACATAGGTATTTCGGTTAGGTGGTACCAAAATATTAAAAGAATTTTGTGGTACATTACTCAAAAAGGTTTAGAACCACTGAACTATTCAGAAATGAAAATGATTTCGAGAAATAAAAAAGAATGAAAAAAAAAGACACCAACACAACAAAAAGTCTGATACCCTAGGAGGTAAAACGAGTTAGGAAAAGAAGCAAAGGAAGTATCTATTTTCGTATATTTTTCTATGACCCTTGTAGTTACGCACATTCTTCGGAAAGTTGTTGTTAATGTTGGACATAGTCTAAAAATAAATCGCAACTCAAATAATTAAAATCCGACACTTGTTCCAGAAAAATTTAATCATGCATATCTTGCTTCTAGTATTTGGATTTCCCTAAAATGCCATTATTTATTTTTATATTTAGATATATCCCAATTATATTTAGTTTTATTCTTTATTTTACGCTTGTCAATTTTATTCCTACTAAAATTATGATTTTATTTGCTCCATTGGACGGCTTTGTTTCAAACAATACCCATTTTTTTTTTAATAAAACCAACTTCAAGATAAATGAGAGAGTTTAGTACTCCACGCTATTAGTCCAATATCAATCAATGAATGGTCAGAGTAATGACATATAGGTGCATTTCATATCTCTATTGGCTATCGTTTGTGGAAACGACGATCGAAAATTAATAAACGAATTATTTTTAATGCAACCTTTATGGACATTTCCTTGGTCAGAAATTTTCGTTTAATATTTTGTAATTTCCACAATGAAAATGAATGTTCTGTATACCATAAATCATAAAGTTTTTATTTAAAAAATCCTTTATAAAGATATAATAATATAAAAGGACCCTTTTCGGCTATCGAAATGTATTCCATCATCAATGCTTTTACTAAGTATACATGAGTAAAGCAACTAAATATACAGGTAAGACCCTACACATATAGTTAAATTAATTTGAAATGACAGTGTTGCTGTCATAATAATATAATACTGTAGAATGATAAAGTTTTAGACGGAATTTACTTCATGGACTCTTAAAGGACATGGACCTTAAGGATCTTAAACTGAGTTTGGTGGCCTGAGAAAAACGTGTCTAAGGGGATCTGTAGGTAGCTACATAGGGCCAGCAAGTTTAGCTACATAGGGCAGCCTTGTTTAGGAGTCTTACGTTATAGTCTAGGTGCCAGGCGACATACTTGATCACTCATACATAACAGGCTACAATTTTCAGGATAGCTTCATAAGACCTCGACCCCCAAATTACTCTTGGGATACTTTCTGTACCGGCTGCTTTTTCTCTTCAGCTTATCCAAAAGTGGTCATTTTGAAGTGTATATATATATATATATATATAATAATATATATATACACATATAATATATATATATATATATATATATATATATA